GAGGTCTCTTACGAAGTTGCTCTCAACCTGGTGTTAGGGGTAGCCTACTATCTTACCTCCCCTTACCCCATATATATGAGAAAAAGGGACAACCATTTTTTTTCTTTTCTTCCTTGCATTTCTACATTTTATCTTCTTACATGATTTTAGTACTATGAGCGAAGGAATGAACAAAATTTTTTTAAAACATCGATTAAATTAGGGAAAATGACATTTAAAAAAAAGGCTTAAATATAAAATAAATGCTTAAATTATATCTTTTTTATGAATATATATCTAAAGTATTTTTCGATTCATCTTGGTGCTTAATGTTACAAACGTTATCATTTTAATTATTCGATCCGTAATATCAGTTAAAAATCTCCGTTAAAGGACAAATGTCAAATTTAGATAATTTTAAAATTTTTATTCAAATTAAAAACATAAAAATTATTAATTTAAAAAATCCAAATTTTTTGAAATTACAAAAAGAATCCTTAAACCCTAAAATCCATTATTCCAACCACACACCAATCGTCACCAGTCACCACTGGCCGCCTTTGACATGGTCAAACGGATGTCCACCAATCATCGATCCTCCATCGCCAACCATCTCTCCTATCGTTATCCCAATCCCCCTAAATTCCTAAACATAAAGCCCTAACCTTAATCTCCAAATCTCTTACCATAATCTCAAATTTATTAGATTATTTAGTTGTGTTTAGAGAGGGAAACGACAGCGAGGGGTTGTTGATGCAGTCATTGGCATGGGAGGAACGACAAAGGTTGTTGAGCAAATGTTTGGGCACACAAATGAACGTCGGAGAAGGGAAATGACAATGTGTTGTCGAACGACGAAGATATTATGATGCTCGACGATGGATTGGTGGTTCAATGGCAACAACAGTAACATAGTAGGTGATGGCTGTTAATGGGATTGGAATAAGCTATTTTAGAATTTTAAGACTTTCTTTATAATTTCTAAAAAATGAGTTTTTTAATATAATATATAATATTATGTTTATTAATTTAAATAAAAATTTTAAAAAATTACCTAAATGCGACACATGTCCTTTAACAAAGGTTTTTAAAGGCCGTTACGGACCGAATGCTGTAAAAAATATTTTAATCATTCATTCATGAAAAATGATATAATTTTGACACTTATTTTATAATTAACTCATTAAAAAAATCAAACTATGAATAAAATAAAAATTAATCTAAATATATCAATTCTTTTACTAAACCTACCAAAAAATTAGTATAATGATTATATTTGTTTTTCATTTTTTTTATTAAAACACCAAAAGATTAATTATACATACATGTATAAAAAATAAATATTAAAACATTCTTTGATAAATAAACTAGAATTACAATAAATTAAACGTTACATAATTATTTCGATAAGTCAAAAGTTTTAAGAATATGAAAATAATATTTACGAAACTCTTCCTGACGACTAACATATGGGTCTTTCTATGCAGATACAATGTCACTTTTATATGTGATCCAAAGTGGATGAGTCATCGGCAAAAGACAACCTTCGCGTAATGCCGCTTTAATATAATGGTTATAATTCATATGTACAATGACGATTGTCCCATGTGACTCTGATTGTGGTGGACTGGACTAAAACGAGAAAATCGTACTAGAACCTCCGACGTTTCCTCCTTAACATTTTCACTTTCAACAACATTCGAAACTTATTCCCAGATCGAGATCACAAAGCCTTGAACCCAACCAAATGGAGGAAACTAGAATTATTGATTTCCATCTAAAAACCTAATCCATCATCATCATCATCTATACTACTAATACCCTATTCTACTTTCTTCTAAACCTTAAAATTCCAGTCAATTTAGCCACTCTTGTGGTAATCGGACTTCATTGCTGATAACTTGTCGTGGCCTAAAGTTGCGTTGCTTCTTACCCCCACCGGCCACCACTTCCAAGACTCAAAGCAACATCTACAATTAGAAAGCAGTCAACAAAGAAACAAGCCATACCTAGAAAGTAATTTAAATTTGAAAATCAAAACTAGATTGTTTACCACTATCCGCAGTAAAACTTGTGTTAAACCCAGGATGAAGAATTGGTCGAGCGCCAATCTCATCAAGGTTCAAATTCAGGGCCTGAAGCACTCTAGCTGGAAGCAAAACAGCAGGGCAAGCTGTCAAAATAACAAAGATTAAAAATAAGTGATTAGATCTGGAAAAGCCTAAGGGATAAATACATTTAAAATGAAATGGGTATGTACTTGTCTTCTTGCTGGATTCAGCAGGGGTACTACTAATACTGCGGGGCAAGAAAACACCCGTTCCAGCACATTGTCTTTTACCAATTGTATTGCCCAAGAAAACAGCCCACATACCCGACCCGTTCTGAGGATGTCGTTGCTGCTGCAGAGGGGTGCATGCAGCTGGAGAAGTCCTATTATCTTTACTGTTCCTCCCTTTTGTTTTGCAAGTGGTGGTTCTTCTTATATCCTCCCGAAGCCGACGAGTTCTGTTGTTTCATCAGATGATGTTGCTTCAGTTGCTGAAGCTGCAATACAAAAAGAAAATAACCAGATTAATACCATGGCGGAGGGGGGAAACCTTAACAAAGCTATTTTAAGCTCTTTTTTTAGGCTTATTTTACTTCAATAGCCTGCAACTTGCGGTGAGGAGAGTAAAAGCCAGAGACGAAGATTTTCTTGGTGGTGCAACCAGGAGGCCTCTATTGTTGAAATCACCGTAATATTCTTTATGCAATCGCATCCTTTGGACTTCCCCCCTCGCCGAATGCAGCAGATTCAACGTTCCCGGCGTTGATGAAACTCGAGATTGAGGCGAACTGGAATAGACCCAAGCCTAGAAATCAAAACACCAAATGAAATTAGAACAAGGAATAATGGCTTATTATTAAAAATTTTGGAGAAGAAGTGGTGTTAAGTTGTTTAACCAACCTTGGAGTGATGAGAGACAAAGGCATGGTCGTCTAGGAGAGTAGAGTGAGCCATTTGAGGAGTTAACCCAGCGAGGAAATCTTCTTCGCCACTCCGTGTTTCAGTAGAACCCAGCAGAGAGTTAAGATCCGAATGAAAATCATAGGGAAAGAAAGGCTTGGAAGCAGCAAGCTCATCTTTCTTGTCCACGAGAAAGTCATGGTGGGGTAGAAAGTGAGGCGGAAGGCAACACTCAGCGTCGTCTAAAACCTTGTCCATGAGAAAGAAAGCTGAAGAGTGAAATGAAAAATAAGAGAGGCGATTGTTAGCTGGTTTAGATTTAAAGCAGAGGATTAGGGAAGGCAAGAAGGCGGAGTACATACGCGTAGCCCTGCCAATGCGAAAAATAAAAAAGATATTAAGCAATACTAGCAACTGTAGGGAAGATTTGTATTTGTAGAGTGAGAAAGAGCGGTTGCCAGTGTTCCAATCGCGTAAAGGGGAAGCTTATGAATACGCCGGACTGCCATTGGCCACTAACATGGTGTGGGAGACCAGATGAATTTGTACACAGTAAACGTCGATGATTCAGTCACAAGCATACCAGACATTTGTCGTATCTAGGCTATGCAGTTATCCACTTGGCAATCCAGGAGGAAATTAAATGGCACTCAATATTCCTTTGCATTTGAATTTATTTAAATATTTGGTCCATTAAACTCTATGTTATAAATGGATCCCAATTTGGGTGAGATAAAGCCTGTTGCAGTATCAGCTTTGGGTTTCGGTGTAACATCTGGCAGTTTTTTCGAGACAAATGGTGTCACCCTCACTACAAACAAACCATTAGCTGTTGGATAACATACCCAAAGAGTATCGAGTGTGAATATTATCGAGGAACATGTCACCTTGATTACCGGGGAACAATACGTGTGTCTGAATCATGTCATTTCCTTTTTATCTTGGGACTGTCTTCATTATTTTATCCGACCATTAGGCATTTGCATCTCTACCACTTTTACTATCCAAAGCAGACACAAATATCAACCACTTGACCGAACCTGCTGATCCAAATAGAAAACATTAGCTGCAGTAATGGTGGGGTACATCCCAAATGATGCAAAATGGAGTCGAGGATCAAATTTTGCTACCAAAACTTGGTACAATCATTAGAAATGGCAATCAGTATCAACAAATAATTAGGTGTGGCTCTCTCTGTTTTTCTAGTGCATGATAATGACAGTTTTCACAATATAGTTTCGTATTGGCCAAAAGCTTTAGGGAGTATGTTAATTATAACTTGGATAAGCATAAACATGTTGATTAATCCGTTGTTCCACGCTCCACAATCGCACACCCACCTCCCTAATCCATGCATGACACTTGTTGAGATCCAAAAGCTTTAATTATGATGACGGCAGCATCAACAACAGTATCTTTGGGCTTCATCGACCACGGTGGAGAATAAATACCGGACGGTAAGTCCAAGGTTACCTGTTGAACTCAAAACGTAAAGCAAACCTATAAGCACATCATTACGGCCCAAGATATGTTGTGGGATTGATTGTGCTTGTGACCATTGTGGGGGTTGATGCAGCAGAGGAAATCATCCCCTGATATTGAAGCTGATCACATGTTCTGAGGCAACACAAGATGAGAAAGCTCCGGTCCCCGCCGATCAAAATCCGAGCTGTCTTTGTGCTGTTATGCTCTCCAACAATCAACAAACGATGCGACATAACAAACTGCCTGGTTGGCTACAAGTGTGGAGGTCAGTCATGATCTCGATGCTCCGTTTTGCTCTATTTTTTTATTTTGAAAATTTATGTTTAATATATACATATATATCATTAATGTTTGCTTTACAGCTTATACACTTCCTTAAATGGAAAATCTGGAAACTCAAACTGATATCAAAATTCTTCAACATAATAATACGCAGTCACTTGCAAGTCTTAAACATATATGAATCCTTTGTAAAGAAAAAGTTGAATCATCCTTTACAATGAAGAAGGGAGACCAAATAACTATATCTGTATGGCTCGATAGAGTATGAACGACCCAGCTGCCTGCAACTTTTGAAATAATTCATGCCCAATATATATAACCAGAGACAGATTAAATTGTTGTCTGTATATATCTTCCTAGGTACCTTTATAATAAGTATTCTGATTGGCAAGCAAGCTCTTAGTAATAGAGAGACTCTGCAGAAACAACAAAGATATCAATCTTCGAGTTCGGGTTCAGAATAGCCCCAATGGACAGTGATACTGTACCTTGCCACCAGTTTCCTCTTGATGCCATCCCTGAATCCTCTTCTCCACCATCCTTCTTATACTAGAAAGTGTTATGCAAACATGTTAGCTGAATCCTAAATCAAAAGGTAGATCGAAGTACATAGATCCGAATACAACTTGATGTAGTTACTCACCATGGAGTTAAATCCAGGGCCCTGGCTACTATTGGGAAGATAGTATATATCTTGCCCACCGTAGTAGATCGACGAACTTAGATTACATGGTTGTACTTTTTGCTCCTGATATCTGGAACTCGTGTCTCTATTCCAGGTGTTTGGATTTTCACCTTCATGTCCTTTGGAAGAATTACCTGGCAGTCCTAAATCAATTTAGAGAGAATTCTCCGGACAGTAAATTGAGCAGGTATAGAATCTTGAGCTACAAAGAAATTGGGGGCTACTACTGCTATCCATACTTCACATCACAAGAGTGCTATAAGATAAACCAATAAACGTTACAGAATACAAACAACTAATACATATAATTTATTGTAAATTCAGTATAAAATCCGGTAATGGTATGAGCGATGTACAATACAAACCAGAGGCTCCAGGCTTTGTGTTCGGATTATCCTGCCCATCGGTCATTGAATCAGGATGCAGAGACACCCTCCCTAATACCTATGTTCGAGACAAAGATGGAAACATCAATATTGTAACAAGAAAAGGCTGTCAAAACTTAAAGTTTTTTCAAACAACAATGGCGTTCACAGAGAGTCTAATTGTTTACGTTTCCATCAGTTGCGTACCCACAATCCCAATTTTGCAATGCTCTCAACCAAATCTAAACTTGGAAACTCCATGGGATATAACATGAAAATAATACCTTAGATGGATGAGCAAATATAGAGCCGAAAATCCCAGAGGAAGATGAAGGCAAGTCTTTTGAACCGAAGAGCTCTGAAGTCAATGAAGAAGAAGAAGACGAGGATCCTACTTCTTTGCTCCATTCCATTGTCTTTACACAATCACAATAATCTTTTCTTAGTACTCAAGAAAGATGTATATTTAAAAGGAAGCACCGTCAAGAATGATAACACAGAAGAGAAAACAAGAAGAAAATAGTAGGCAACATTAAAGAAGATTTAAAAGACACGTGAAGATCCGGGTATGTGTTGCCGGTAGTTATTTTTATAATAGATACTAACCGACGCGCAGTTGCGCAAAGATAGAGATATGCCACGTGAAGCAAAGCAGTAATTGTGTGCGAGTCCCAACCTTTCCAACGAGTTAAGATGAATACTGCCTTGGCAATAGTCGATATTTATACACAATGTGATGGATAAAACAAGGAAAGTAAATTAATATTTAATACAATTTAATGCATAATAAAATCGAAGAAGCTTCTCCGTATTGAATTCAATTTTGACTTGGCTACTTTGGAGGGCAGTTCCAGTTATTAGAGGCCTAAAGGGGTGCCTACAGCCTACCCCACTTATGACCATATCCCTTTATCCTGTCGGATCAACTCCTTAAACTGGCGGGTCTTTTTCTGTTGGGTTAATTATCTCATTATATTTGAAATATAATTGATTTTCAGTTTCATACATAAAGTTTAAAAATTTTCAATTAACTACATAATATTTTCTGCCGTTAAAAGATTTATCCATATTTGTCACGAAAAGTGAAGTGGAACCTTATAACCATAACATGTAACACATTAAAAAATATGTTTTTTAATTTTTTAGGTAAATTACAGTATTCATCACTCAATTATCTTCTCACTTTTATTTTAGTCACTAAAATTTAATTTTTTTAATTTAATTATTAAACTATAGAATTGCTCTTATTTTAATAACTCAAGTTTATTTTATTAATTTTTTATGACATGATATCTACTAATAACTGAAATTTATTTTATTAATATTTTATTAATAACTCAAATTTATTTTATTAATATTTTAATAACTCCCCTGCTTATTCTTAGTTAAAACACCATCGACTCTCCATTCAACCTTTTCAGCATAGCAAGTTCTCGCACTAATTCCTTTTCGGATCCTCGAAAGTGTAACCCCAATGTTTTGCCTAGCTTCAGAGATTTTTTTGCTTCCCTTAACAAGATCGATCTTCTAGCTAAAATGTCAGAATCCGATTTCGATATTCATTTCAGCTCTTAGAGTTCCACCACAATCACTTGTTTCTTCTTCTTTCTTCTTACACGAGGTATTCTTTTCCTTTTGAAAGTTGTCAAATATCTTTCATGGATCGCTTCCAAGTATCCATACCTTTTCTGTTTTTGTAGCAGTGGTCTTGCAATTCTCGAAAACTAAAATAGCTTTTGCAATCTCCTCTAGAAATGGTCGTTTTTCAAAAAAAAAAATCACTTGTGACCAGTATATTTATCGATCTAACACCGGTCAGACTATATTTCTCGATCTAACACACTTTGCAGTAAGACGCCCCTGCAGCGCGTTATATGTTGATTTGGCGCCACATGGGGTAAGACGCCCCCTGCGATACGCCTTATGCTGACATGAATTACACGTTAGTATGGCGGGGATAAGATGGTAATTAAGAGTATAGCGCGCCGCAGGGGCTTCGTCTTACCTGTGATTCTGACACGCGTCAGAAAGGCGCGGCCCCTACGGCGCGCTATACCCTTAATTACCATCCTACCCCCACCTGTCCACACCCATCCCTCCCTATAAATATCATTATTCTTAATCACTTTCATCACACCAAATCCTCTTAACTTCTCTTAACTTCTCAAATACTCTTATATTCTCTTATTAAGATATATTTTATTATATTTAGTATTTTTTAGTAATTTATTTAATTATTTTAATTGTTTAATATTTTATTTAATTAATTTTTTTTTGTAGATATAAAATGGAAGGCGGTCTACTTTGGTTGGATAGAAATCATATATCGACACTTTACTGATACGGTAACATTTTAACGTTTTAATTTAATTTATTTATTTATTTATTTAATGCATGATTATTAGTTAAAAAATTAATTTGTGTAATTATTTAAATTTTAGGAGACAGACCGTATATTAGATTCTTTTATTAGGAATCTTAAGTTAGTTATACCTACTCATGTAATGTCATATTTAGTAGAGGCTGGATTCGGTCACCTAGGTAGATATCAGGGTCACTGTAAGATAGAACCGGACCTTATTTCTGCCGGAGACCCACACATTTCATCTTCCGTGCGGAGAGTGTACGATCACGCTTGAGGATGTTTCTATGCACCTGGGGCTTCCGGTGGATAGAGGTGTGATATCAGGGATAGCTTCCGGTTCTTGGACTACTTTGTGTCGGGTTAGTCTAGGACGTGTCCCGAAAAATTTTAACGGTGGACGGATACCGTTAAATTGGTTAGATGCCAATTTTGGGAGTTGAGCGAGGACGCGTCTGACGATGAAGTTAAACAATATGCACGGGCATACATATTGCAGCTGATAGGAGGGTTGCTGATGCCGGACAAATCACGCAACTAAGTTCACTGTATGTGGTTGTAACATCTTGGTGACTTTCATATGGTCGGATCACTCAGTTGGGGCTCGACAGTTTTGGTTTGCATGTACAGGGAGATGTGTCGAGCCATTGATTACATGCGTAATGCTATCTACGGATGTCTTCTGCTGCTGCAGTCTTGGGCATGGTATCGATTGCCCTTTTTATGTGCCGTTGTCAAGAACCCATTCGTATTTCTGCTACTCCTGAGGTAATTATAAAACTGATTTTGTATATTAATAATTTTATACAGTGAATAAGAAATTATTTTTCTTGAATAGGTGGTCTACTAATAGGAAAAATCATTAGGAGCTACCTGATGATTTAGAAAAAATTAGGGTGTTAATCGATCAGAAAGCTGGCACATTGGTATGACTTTTAATGTTTAAAAATCAATTTTAGATTATAGTTATATAATATGATTATTATTTTTATAAAAATTATATATATTTGTTTTAGTTTGAATGGGTGCCATATTCTACTGATGATGTGAGAGCGGTGATCCCACCTGAGTTGAGGGGACCATCAGATATTTGGATGGCGACGGTCCCCTGGATCTGTTATGTGACCGTCCCCTTGATCTGTTATGCGACCGTCGAGTGGCACTCCACTGATCGCTTGCTCCGACAATTTGGTTGTTTTCAACCAATTCCGGAAGCACCTCGCAATATGGACGAGTTGCATAGCACATATAGACGCGGCAAGACATATACAGATTAGCTGGTGAGGCATCATGCGTGGGTCGTGTTGTGGGAGGATCGACATCGGCACCTTTCCCATAGAGAGTGGTTCAACATTAATGGGGCACCGACATAGCACCATCGTCCCCCGACTCATGGACGTAGAGCAGGTGTTTCCAGTTCATCCTCAGCTGCACCAGTAGGACCTTCACAGTAGCCATCGTATCCAGCGACTTACATACCACAACCATATATGATGCCGCCACCACCTTTCCATTACCAGATGCTGTCGTCGCCGCCTTCACCTACTTTTATGACCCCGACTCCGCCGTCACAGATGACCCCTCCTGGAGGCTATTATGGGTCTATGTTTACAGATCTGACTTGGGGTTTATATATTGGATATTTGGCGGGTTCAGCCTCATCACCCATGATCGCAGTACAGACACCTCCAGTACAGTTTTCACACTCAGCGATGTCTGGGTTTTATGAGTTTTCCCAATTTTCGCAGGCCGGTGGGATAGTCAGTCATACACCTCCAGGGTCCTTATTCTATGGAGGTGCTTCATCGTCATCAGCTCCTCATCAACCTAATGTACCTACTCAGGATGAAAACGATGACGACGACGATGATGATGGTGGTGATGATGACAGCGAGGAGTCACAACCAGTGATACGAAGAAATCCTCCTCGAGACCGACAACCATCGCCCTGCAAAATACATTCGCGTCGCAGGCATCGATAGATTTTGGTTTTTATTATATTTGTATTTAGTTTATTAGACTTTTTAATTGTAATTTTTTATTATTTCTCTTTTAATACTTACTTTATTTTGTTAAATTTGTTTGACTTTTTTTAATGTATTTCAGTACAAGAATTCGATAAACAAATACATCATTTCCTCATCAATTGTTACTTGATGGCAACAGAAGTGGACATGTTTTTCTAGTGTGTCCTGGGTTTTTGCAATGCCCACATCTCCTGTCTTGTCTAGATCTTTCTCGAATATCCATATCGCAATGAATTTGATTGGATTTTGGATGACCACGCTTCCTCAATAAACTCAGATTTGGTACAATCAGAAGCCAATCTTGAACCTCATCAAGGTCTTTATCATTACCTATGGGGGAAACTCAAATTCGTATACCTTAAAAACTTCAGATAGTAGTTATACGGGATCCAAAAATGGTTATAGTCTTGACGTGTATGCGAGCAAGCTGCTATCACATGAGAGCATGGATACTTAAGAGCTTGAAAAACCCGCAGTCGCACGTTCTGTCCCTTATATTTACTCTTAACGACACAGCTTCAATCCCTTGAAGAGGTCGCAACAACTCTGTGACATGAAACATTTCATGCCTTCTAAAGAAGCTTGTTACAGACATTCCATTTGATGCAGAAATTTTTTTCTGTAGATCTGCAACTAATCTAGGGTGATAGACATGACCGCCTTGCATCCAGGTTTGAGCTTGTCCCCCGAGCTTCACAAAAAGTGCCCCCAAACGAAAATATATAGTCTTTACCAAAGCCGCTACTGGTAAGTGACATGCACCCTTTAAAGTTGAATTGATTGCCTCTGCCAAGTTGGTCGTCATATGTCCATATCGATATCCACCATTGTTGAAAATATTTTGATATTTCGATATAACAAATTAAGTTAAATGAATTTTAAGATTTTCCAAATGATTTTCTAAGTATATTCAATATAACTATTCGAATATCAAAACATTACTCCAAATCTTTTAAAGATCATTTTTAATCCTTACTCAAGTGTAAAATTAAGTTTTAATCTTAAAAAAATTTCAAAATAATTTTACAAAGTATTTCGAA